CTGCTTCCTCGGACCCCATGTCCTCCAGGAAAGAGTGGAGTGGCTGGGGGAACAGAGGTGGGTACAGAGGTGGGATGACACTTAGAACAAAATGCAGAACGGTAAGCCTACAAAGTTTGTGGAAGAATCACTAGTAAGCTAAAAAAAAGTCCAAGTTTTTTGGTCAACCTGTGGGGAACTATTTCACCACCCTGCAGAAGGTCACAGGGCAAAGGTACTTTTGGCAAGGTTGATTTTCACTTCAGCCCCGTGGACATTCCCAAAGGGGGTAAATTTATTGACAATGGACTGTGCTTCAGGGTTTCGGTGGAAAGAGAAATATGTGAACCTCAGGGAGCCTGGAAGCAAATGAAAGAGCTTGTGGGTTTGGGGCAGCTTCACAGCATGTGGCCACCAGTCACACACCTGTATGAAGAGGACGCCAGGTCTGGTTTGTGCATGTGCAGAGCCTGTTAGAAGGGTACCAGGCTTGGTTGTCCCCATCTTGGAATTATTAACACTGGTGAAATAAGAAGCCCTGATTTCATTTTGCAGTGAATCCCACAGACTACATGGGCAGCTCTGCTTGGGATTTGAGAGGCAGATGATGGTGACAGTGACGGCTTAGGGACACAGCTCCAGGCTGCGGGCAGAGAGACCTAGTAGTGTCACAGTTCTGGCGAGCGTGGCAGAGTGGGGCACCTTCATTTTCCTAGTGTCACTAGTGATTGCTTCCCGTGGGGAAGGAAGGTCAGCTGCCCTGAAGGACACTCTTTCCAGGGAGAAGTAGGGTTATGCTGAACTGATACCATTATCAGGACGTTGTAGCAGGGGTGAAAACCATCATAATCTCTTCAGACAAGCATGATTAGAAGGTTTTATTACTGTCAAATTATTATTCATAATTCCCTGAACTGAGTATTTAAATGTTGTATCACCCGAGAAGGGCTGATACTGCTTCTGGCCTTGTATCTAATTAACTTTTTTTAGTGAAAGACACTGAAGGTCCTCAGGTATCTGAATAATACGTGTGGATTCTGGAGGTACAGGTTGCAGGCATCTAGACAGGCTCAGAAGGAGATCACGCTGCTTTAACTGTGCAGCGAGGTACCAAAAAGGGAGTAGAAAGGAAATTCTTGCACATGAATTTCACAGAACAGTTGGATCTGCGTACTGCATTCTAAAATCAAGTTGTTGAACCTCTGTATTGTAATTTCACTTTCTCCATCATTGTTTCCAAAACTGAAGCTATGGTGGATGAGGTCATAGTTCATACCATCAGATTCCTGACTTTAGTGGCTTCTATTCTGACACACATGATTTGGAACATGGTAGACACAGGACCTGAGTTCCAAGCTGGAAGTGCTCCTTCAAATGCTATGCGTTTCCCATTGCCTAGGTTGCTCCCCTGCATCCCAGCGTTCACATCTGCTGATATCCACGGAGTCCGAACGCCACGGCTTTTTGCTAGGCTTACAGTACATTAGAGTTTATCAACCAATGTGGTGCTGGGTGATTTTACTTAGACGTTCTGTGTCCCTGATAGAACTTTTGTAATTTTAATTTTTACTCTTTTCACTGTTTTGTATTGCACATAAGTGCTCTCTCTAGTGCAGGTCAAAGTGTAGAACAAAAAGGTTGTTCTACGTGCTCACACCCAGTTGATGGGGCAAGGTTAACTGAAATAATATCCTTTCTGCACTGAATTGCCTTTCCAGCTTTTCCAGAAGTCAATTGTCCCTATATGTGCTGCTCTATTTCTAAATTCTCTCATTTCGCTGGTCCATTTGACTCTATGCCAGTATCACTCTGCACTGATCACTGTGACTTTATAAAACATCCTGTGATTGGGTGGCTATAGTCCCCAGCTTTACTTTTATTCAAATTTTGCTGGGCTATTCTAGGTCCCAGTGAGGAATCAAAAAGATAAAGAAAGTAGAAAAGGAAATATTTGCCTATAAATTTCAAAAACTAAATTGGATCCAGTTACCACACTCTAAAACTAATTGATTGAATATATATATA